AAGTTGTTGGAAGTTATAATTTCCATAATAGCCATTGTAATTTCGTTCTCAATTTGTACGTTTTGAAGTACCATGTTTTATTTATTTATTTATTTATATTTGTTATGAGCCCTTTTTGGACCGTTCCAAAACAGTTTACCCCGCTATCAGCAGAGAGAGCAGAACAGGAATAAGCTGGGGACGCCAGGGGCGGAGGAAAAAGGAATGAAAGATGCAGATAGAAACAAGTACAAGGGTTCTGAGCGTTTGTTGCGAGAAAATCATGTTTCTTCTACTTCATGAGGAAACTGAAACTCTGTAGAGATCAATTTTGTTGATCGGAAATTGTCATCTCACACTATGCAAATATAGTGCTCGCTCTCGTAGGGGACGCAAAAGTAATATGTCGTGAGTATCCTTTCAGTTTAAGAATTGTTGCAACAGAATTCTTCGAACCCACTGAAGTGAAATCTGAACTTTTAAAAACAAAAGTTCCATTTCGGATACAATGAATCAATGCTTACGCACATGTCGGATGACCTCATTCATAAATATCATGTTGCTCAATTGTAAAGTTAAAGACTTCATGGTCATGATCAAAATGGCGGTCAATAGTTCTGGTAGGAATTTGATAATGAGAAGAGCCTTGGCAACAAGGAAACAGCCACGACTGCAGAGCCATTGACGATCACGACTGCAAAGGCAAAAACTGACATTGCTCGTTGAGTATTGTAGGAAGACAATACTGAACAAGAAGGAATGGTAAGTCATTTGAGCAATGTAGTAGTGATGTGTAAAAAGAACGGTACGCCATCAGAAGAAAACATGAGTCATCCTTACAGAATGAGAGCGCTTTCAATTTTCTTCGGAAAGAATAAGCGTACACTTCGTGGTAGAGTTAAAGGTCAGAGGGCGTGTCCATTATTCAACTGAAGTGAGTGGGCAAAAAGACGAAGCACCTGGAGTTGCATTTCTATAAAATCTCGGATTGTAAAGAAGGGTGTAATAATAGTGCATTATAACACCATTATGCAATGATTAATACATGTAGTTGAGTGTGAAGTAACTTTTCTTGGGTTTTAGGCGGTGTTAAATCCATGACCGATATTCTAGTGAACCATTTTTTTACCTTATGCTCTGTCCGTGCAATTTACCGTCAACACTCCTCTCGCGTGTCTTCTCAATTAAACAAAATATTTACTAGAAAGATGATGAATAATTAATGACCTCTCAATACTTGGTCTGTAAAATTCTGTGATTCGTCAAAGACCTGTAGTTGACTAATTATATAATTGCCCAATGAAAGTTGTAAAAATCGATATTTCATATATTTCACTTTTTTATAACAATTATTTGTTCCAGATGGAATATATCGTTTCGTATAATTACTTTACAGATGTTTTTTAAACTATGCCAGTTAAACTAAGTAACCTAACTTAATCTATACATTAGAGAGGATACTCTAGGGGAAAACTTTGGGGTTATGTTTCGTGACTGGCTAAGATTTTCAGAAAATTTCAAACCACCACTGACCAGGAAAGAGGAGGGCAGGCAAAAGCTACCACACACATCGGGAGCTTTGAGATTCTTCCGGCTATGGCGGGGCCCCGTTGGTGGGAGATTCCTGGATCGGGAAATCTGCCATTAAGGGGACTTTTACGTAGACGTCAGATCTCACCATAGGTGAGGGAAGGAACCCCAATGCCTGTCGAAATAAAACATTCACCACACTAACGATACTAATGAGCATAGCAGTTTTCACACTCGGAAACGTCAATCAATCAATCAATCAATCACAAAAAAGTCCCTAGAATCGAATGCACGTCACGCACCAAGCGCTGGATGGCCAGAGCTGAGTCAGCCGGAAGCCCGTTCTGATAATAGATTGCGTGGCTGCGAGAGGTTGGCAGCGGATGGCCGCAAGGGGTCCGGGAGTACCGCAGGGGCGGGCTTTGGGCCGGACGTCGCGCGTGGGCGGGGCGGGGCGGGGCTGTGATCAGAGCGACGCGTGCGGGCTGGAGGTGAGCGCCGGGTCCGGCAAGGGGCGGGGGGCGAGGGGCGAGGGAGCGGGGCCGCTCACATAAACACAGCGGACGCAACGGAAACAAAGCGGAGCAGCTGCGAAGGGGCCCTGGCGCTCTGCCGGTGGCCGACCGCGGGGCGCTGCGGCCGCCTTACGATTTACGCTGCGGGGGCGCTGCGGCCCAGCCAACTTCTCGCGGCTACTTGGAATGAACTTCTCATAATGTGTAAGGCACTCTCTTTAAAATGCTAGCTCCTTTAAGCCCCGAAACAAAATATGGAATATATCACTTCGTTTTTTTAGAAAAAACGAATAACACAACTAAGAAGTAGGATTGTGCTATGAGGTCGTCAATCGCTGCGCTAATGCTATCTGACCTAATTTTATTATTATGAATTATGATTCATTCTGCTCTTTTGGTTGTCATATTAATTGTGGGACAATATGGAAAATCGACTTCCTTCGGTTCTCGATAAGTCCCGGTAGTTCTTTTAAAACGTTCTAGTGATTTGGCAGAGATGAAACTTGCACGCACTTTCTTTACTTAACCCTTTATTTTATAATAAAAATGAAGATTTCTCAATAATATTTTATAGGATCAGTTTATTTCATGTATTTTCAGTTTGGTTATTAAGACGTTTCAACGTTTGGTTATCAAGAATTTTCTTTCTCGGACAACAAAATAACCAAAATTTATTTTGTATAATACAACAATGTATGCACTAGTCTAAACTTGAAAATGTAAGAGCGTTTTTATCACAACACGTCTCGTGTTTGATTATCTTTTTTAATTCATTTATGTAACATTATTTAGAGAAACTACCAGAACTCACTAAATTGGAAGATGAATCCGTAAAACAAGCCACTTCGCTCGATGTAAATGACACAAGAAAAAACATTTTAGAAAGCGTAGGAGCCCATTTTCAAAGTAGGCCTACGATTAAATAAACGATTCATGATGCACACCTCCACCCACTTAATGTTTACGAATGGAATGCCAAAGTGCCCCCGCCTTGCTATTCGAGCGGGCCTTAGTCATGAAGCGGTCTTTGGGACCACGGGGCGTTCCGAACGAGCTATAAACTCAACGGTAGGGAATCTCGAAGACACTTTACCGAGGGCATTTCAAAACGGCGAAGGGTTCTACGCGTGCAACAGAAGCCATAACGGAGAGCAACAGACGACTCATCAAAGGCCCTCCTGCCCCTCAGCAGTTCATTGTACGTTTCCGACCCAGTTACACAGTACACTACATGCTCCCCTCGTCCGTGGACAGAGGTGCTTCGCTCCCTGGGGCAGCGGGGCGGGGGCGGAGCAGGGGCGATCGGGGCGGGGGCGCGAGGGAAAGCGCGAGCGGCGCGACGCAGAGGTGCCAGGGCCCTGCCTGCGGGAAGGAGGGGCGGGCGGGGAGGGTTCGGAGCGGGCGAACTGGAACCGCCGGGGCGAGGGTGCGACGAGAGTGGCGAGCTGGTGGAGCGCAGGGCACGCCGCGTCGCACGCGCAGAGTGGTACGGAGGGTGGGGGTGGAGGGAGGACGAGGTTATTTGGTGCGAAAAACACAGCCGGGCCGGCACGAGCTCAAATTGAGAACAAAATGTCATCGGATATAGGTACACGAGTCACCGCGTGCACAAACGATACGGGTCGAAAGACTGTTGACGAAGGGAACCATCACCTATTAAGTTTTTAAAAACGAAGACTCGCAGAGGAGTTATTTGTAATACGGGGCGGTTGGAAAAATTAAATTATTTTGGAATTTTTTTGCCACGATCGAGATTCTTTTTTTTTTTTTGTTCAAACTGATTGAGGTTAAAGAAAAGCAAGATCATGCAAAATTAAATTAAATAATCTCTCTTGGAATATGCGTTCGCCTGAAAATGCTTTGTTACCAATTGTCATATTTGTCATCTCTACTCTTCTGCTATTGCAACAAAACGCCATTTCCATTTTGAGCTCAGTTAGAAGAAAGTATTTTTTGCATTTGACTTGACATCACTGTGAAAAACCTTTTTATAACGGTGACGGCACGTTCTTCCAGATGTCTTTAGAAAGGACTAATTCAAACACGTGTAGTGGTGTATAATCAATGTTTTTATATGATCACAAAAAGTAATTTATGAATAAAAATGTGGACTAAAATGAATAAAAAACTATGACTATGCCAAAATGTATGAAAACAATGAGTAGGGAAAAAATTTAGAATGGAAAAATTCTTTTGAAAAGAGGGTGTTGTAAAAAATCTGTCAACGTTTTTTAATAAGAGGAAAGAATTGGGCAAAACATTTTTATAAGAATTAATTTTTGAAATTGTTATAGCCAGAAAAATATCAAAAAGTTACTCAATTATGCAAGCAAACAATACCTAAAAAGGAAATTACAGAATATCGAGAATCATGAGAAACAGGAAAATGGAAGTATCGTGTTAAACATTAGATTTGTTAATGAAAAATTAGATGTGAGTACCGATGAAAAGATGAAATAAATTGTCTGACAAATTCCTGCTAATTACATTAATATTACCTAAGAGGGAATTACGTACATAATTTTGAAAATCGTATAGCGAAGAATAGAATTCAAAGAAGTAACAAAATGAATTTAAAGGTATAAAATATGGAACAGAGAAGCCCAAATTGACATTCGATTGAGTTTCTTAAAAACTAACAAAAAATCACTCAACAAAAGAACAGCGTAAGAGGAAGACGAAAATGGATACTCTTGTAAAAAATTGAGAAAATTACGTTGGGCTTAAAGCGAAAAGTCAAATTAATCAAGAGCACGTAAGTGAAAACAAGAATATTATAAGACTTAATACGCAGATGCCGGAACTCACCGGACAAGAAACAGAGAAGGAACTCAATAAGCTGCTTTTGGCCGCGAAAAGGCTTCTCATCACACTGAAACGAAAGATGGACTGGGGAAACGAAAACCGAGGCGACGAAGGTGGAGAGGGGGCTGCGGTTAGCTTCCAGCTGCGAGGGGGGAGAGAGACGAAGTGTTTATGAAGGGACGAAAGATACATTGCGAACGACGGTGCGACAAGGACGCGCAAGGGCCGCCCAGGCGAGCGAGCAGGCAGCCCGGGGGGGCGCGGAGGGGCAGGGGGCACCGCGAGCTCGAGGGCGCCGGCGCGGCGGCGGGGGCTCCTCGCGCCTCGCGGCGCCGGCGCCCAGCGCTGCGAGCGCGGCGGCGGCGGCGGCGGCGGCGGCGGCGGCGCGGCGGCGGCGGCGCGGCGGCGGGCGACGCTGGCGCCACGCGGCTGGACCAGGAACATCAGGCGCCGCCGCCGCCGCCGCCGCCTCCTGCCACCGCCAGCGCCAGTCCGGGTCGGCGGGTATCGAGGGCAAAGCCTCCAGCTGACTGGGCGAGCTCCGCCGCCGCGGCCGCTCCGTCCGCCGCCGCGCCGCCGACCGCTCGAGAGCGCGTCCCTCCAGCAGGCGAGTACAGGCGGGTGGCCGCCCGCCCGAGTGCCCGCGCGCCTGCCGCCGACGATTTGACACGCCGCCGGCTCGCCAGTGAGGACGCCTGCCGGCCTCCGCGCGCCCGCCCCCGCCGCCCAGCGACTCCGCGCCCTGCCCCGCCGCTTCCTCTGCGTGCCAGGCACAGTGATTGTGTCGGTGTTTCATGTATTAAAAGTGTGAGAGCGAACAAGCCAAAAGTAGCTCGGTCGAAAATTCTGTTCATTGAAGTCGGCGTGAGGTAAAAATTAGGAAGCGCATTAAAATACATAGCTATAATCTTGTAAATTTAAATGCTATCCCTGAGGTATGCCAGAGATATATCCAGTTATATTTTTTTTAGTTTTAATTTTTTTTTGGTAGATTTTAAAATTAGCTTTTTCATTGATCTCTATGTTGTTGGCGAAATCTTAGTGCGCAATGATAATCTTAATGGCTTAGTGTGTGGGTTACAGCGTCGGCCTGTCAGTCTCTTTCCGGTTGTGGCGGCGACAACTTAGCTAGAACAGTGAATTTTTCTAGGAATGTCCATTCAGAAGCCAGCGACAGCTCATTATGTCCAGTGCGTCTGCGCTTGGAGAAAAGAGTTGAATGAAATACTTCGATGGGGTGTGTTTGTGTGTGGTTAAAATCACGTTCTTCCAGCTGTTCTGGAAGTTATTGTTCTCGAAAATTATTAAATTGTTCCTTAATCTCTATCCGATAGAAAATTTATTTGACAGTTCGTTTTTAATGTTCAACTGTTCTACTGAAAATGCATTGCTAACGGATTAATTGTCGTCTCTCTTTATTATTACTTTAAGGTTTTTAATATTATATTTACATTATTGAATTTCTTCACTGACCTTTTTGCAGTAAAACATTTTTGAAATGAAAGTTCGACAATGGACCATAAAAATATGGCATTCTAAATCAATCATTAAATTAGAAAAGTTATCTCATTTTAAATAACTGCAAAAATAATGCCTCGGTGTTGCTTTTTTTTCATTACTGGGTTTATACTTTTTCCTACCTCTAGCTTTTTTGTTTCTAAGAAATATATTCAAAATTAAAGGCCTTCTAAATTCTATTAGCTTTTACCTGAAAATAAAATAATGTACTTTCCAATATACTGTATTTTTATTAAAACTATTTTATACAGCAAGAAAATTTCATGAAAATAATGATTTACAATAAAACGTATTTAATGAAATGATAGCAATAGGAAATATTTTGCTTTTGAATTGCTATTCAGTACATTCCTTATGTTTAAGTGGGGAATTTCTGTGTTAGTCACATAAACGTTAGAATATTATCTTAAAATATTAATAACAACGTATTAATTGGATATTTTTATTGAATAATATTTGAGGTTTGGCATTGTTTTAGTACTTTCAATCCCCAATTTCTACGCAATCTTTTAAATTTTGTTTATAATGTTTTAAAAACAGCGCCTTTTAATAGAAAATGTGAACCAAACATTTTGTTTGTTGATATCTGTGTACACTTTTCATATAAATTGGTATTACTTCCAAGATTTTCTATCGGAAAGCACTGTTTAGTCATCGCGTTAATTATACTGCGCATATCGTGGCAGGAAATAATGTTTGAAATACTTTTCCCACAAAAAGCGTTACGCGCGACAAATAACCCGCCAGTAAACCTGAAGCAAGAAATAAAGGGATTGCGTAAAGAAGGTGCGCCAGGGGAGGGCGCGGGCGTGTTGGGTGTATTTATGCTCCCGAGCACAAAGCGCCGCGAAAAAACGCAGCGACGCGTTCAGTCCTCGCCCCGGCCTGTCTCCGGCCCGCCCTGCCGTCGCCGCTTCCCGCGCGTGAGCGCGTCGGTCACGTGCCCGCAGCCGCGCTTGCAGCGCCGCCGCCGGAGCACGGGCCGCGGTGTCCGGGGGCGGCGGGGGCCTCAGCCCGCCCCCGGCCGCGCCCGCCCCCCCCCGCCCCCGCCCCCGCCGCCTCCACCGCCGCATCGCCCCGGTCCAGGGTCGTCGCCCGGCCCGGCACTTCGCCGTCAAGGCTTGCTCGGGGCCCTCCGTCTCCCCCGCCGCCGGCCCGCCGCCGCCCCCCCCGCGCCGCCCGGCGGCCCGCCCGCGAGGAAGGCGCCCGCGGAGGCGGGGCCGGGGGCGGGGGCGGAACGCCGGGGCTCCGTCGACGACTCCTGCTATGACGACCAGGTGGTGCCGGTGGTGATCCAGGCTCATCTGTGGAGCCAGCTGGGGTAAGCGCAGGTGGCACCGGTCCACCCTTCCAATGAAGACCCCCGCTCTAGAATAATGCTCTCCTGTCTGACCCTAGAGAACTTCCATTAGGTATTCAAGTGGAATACGCCCCCGCGGGAATTTCTTTGGGAAGAAATGAAATTACAATGTTTAGATGTTCTGCCACTCAAAACAGAACTATTAAAATGAGATTGCTATGACATGGTATCATATTTACTGTCACAATGGAATACTAAGCGTGGATTCACTTCTGGTAAAGTTTTGTTATTCTTCACCAAATGGAAGATAAAACAACGCTTACAATTTGCAGTTGCTGAAAATGATGCTCTGTTGTAAAAGCAAACTCTCGCAAATTTGTTTCAAATTCCAACTCTTGGACAGTTATTCGTTTAACGTCAGGCTTGCAGTTCGTTGATGAAATTTTTTTAAACAATTAGTAAATGTCGGTAACCACTTAAATTCTTGCTTTTTCTTTAATTTTCTGTTTCAAACAACTACATTTGCATATTTATTTTGTTTTCCATAGTTGTGGGTGGAATAAATTTGTTAAATTCTGACTTTTCCGTCCATATTTCTTTAATTCCATTACTTCTCATTTCATTCATTTTATTTCATTTAATTTACTTAACATTTCATTTATTTAATTATGAACAATAATATAAAATCGAATTCAATTGACCGGGGGAGGTGGCTCACGGCATTAACTGATGTCACTCCAGTCCCTCTGACCCGGAGATCCTAGGTTGGAGACCCGACGGTGGCAGGATTTTCGATATTAGCTTGTCAGCTATGTCGAATTCAGTCGTTGTGTAGAGGAGAATTATTCTAGCAGCCGGCTGCTCTGATCGGTACTTTTCCGTGTATTTTTCTATCAACACCAGGCGAATGCCGAAGTAGTGCCCCAACAAACGGGCCACGGACCACGCGCGATCTTTTCTACCTCTTCCTTGTCTTACCCTCGCCCGTTACACCAACATACGTGCACTAACATGCTCTACACTACCACACATGCCAGGAGAACGGTCGGGAGCTCAGAGCTCGTCTTTTCTGGAGCGTTTCCCGCTGGTGGGATACACTACATTTATGGGATTAATGACCTTGGTAGTTGACGCGACCGGAATCACCAATTATCAATCGAATTTAATTGTGGCATTCGTATATTTTTCAATGAATTTAATCGATTATTAGATGTCTTAATGCAATATGATTTATTAGATATGATGATACTTTCGTTCTACTGGTATTATCCATTCTTGTATCCATAAAATTCATCTAATTTATTATAATGTGTGAAAAATATAATTAACGAAGGTTATCATAATAGTTATTGTAATTAATATAACAGTTAAAATAATCATTATTCAAACAGTAACCAATAATTTCTCACGTATAAGTATTTAGTTCAAAATAGCGAGGAAAAACTACTCAAATCTACGGTATTTTGTCATGTCAAAAAATAGTGATCTATTATCAACATTGTTCAAAATTTGTAAAACAACACTTTTAATTCCATCGCATCAAAATTTCATTTTGCTATTAATGACACTAAACAACGCAACAATTCATTGTATTTCCCAACTCCTACCACACAAAATAAAAAGTAATTTTACTCGCAATCACCCCTTCTGACATTTCTGCCTCTTACGGTAGCATGTAGTAAACTCAGATTCAAGATCTATTGTAAGTCATAATAGTATTTTTGAGGTCTCCGTTTCACATACCCCTCCGTTTTATCCCCTCCGTCACATCCCTTGCCTTCGAAAGTTATCTTGCATCTCTTACAAGCCTACATTTTTTTTAGTCATGCTCTTGTATATCATCTTTGTTTATGATTACAGCATTACGGCGCAATACATTTTTTTTCAAAACCTTTTGAATTCGATTACATGCGCACACATAAGATAGTAATGTTTCATTTCATTATTTCCTCTGCCAGAGATTCGTACGTCCAATTTGTTAATTAGAGTTCCTTAAGGAATTAAATAATAATTTGACACACAAATATTTTTCATTTTCAAACTAAGCTAACAACAAATTAATTTTTCTTACAAATAAAAAACGAATAATAATATACTGAAGTATGGTAAAATAATGAAATATTTCACAATCGATTTTACAATGAGAGCCAGACACAATAAAATGATACATATCAAATCGCTAGAACCTTCCCTCTGGATCCTGGCCCAGCGCATCTGGACGTTTGTCTAATTTCCCGGGCAAGCGTGCCCAAATTATTAAAGCCGCAACACGTCCGAACGAATTTAATGTCAGGTCGAGCGTGCACTCGCTACCTAGCTCCGCGTTGTTCTCTCTCGCCAGGCGCAACGTAATGGGCCCAGCTGCCACGGCCAGTTGGCGTTTCCGCCCGGGCACAACTTCTTCTCTATCTCTCGCTTCGCGTTCCGGAACTGCCCGCGCGTCTCGCAGTCCAATCTCCACTTTGCAACAGACTGCGTCGCCCACAAAGCTCGCGCACATCGCCTTTCTCGCTGTTCTCGCACGTAAATATAGCGACGTCTTACTTGAGGGTGCCATGAGGGCGGGCAGGGTGTGAGCTCCGGTTATTTTAAAAGGATTTCGTTTCTCGAAAGCACGTGCGCGGAATCCGGAGCTACAGAAGGAGCGTTGTCACGCGGATCTGCGGGGAAACTCTATCGTGAGACACGTTTGCGTATTCTACTCCAAAGATGTGATTCTGAAGCGTTTCTTTTTTTCATTTAAGGGTATCCTGCAAACACTTCAAGAATGTAAAGGACTGTTTTCCTGTAACAGCTGGTGCTTCATTTGCTATTCTTTGCTTAAGGAGACTAAGTCGCTGTAGGGAACATCTGTGAACTCGCAGTTCAGCGATTTTTTTACGTTGCGTCGGAGTTTAACTCATAGAATGTTTCCAAATCCCGTAGGCGATAGTTTCCTTTGTATCCGTAGCAGCTAAATCGTGGAACTTCCTTCAGGACTTCCTGCAGGACTTCCAGTGTTTCTTTCCAAAGAACCTAAGAATTTATGTAACATATAAAAAATATCGGGCTTGAATGGGAAATTTCAATCATTTTATTTAATTACTTCTTCACATTGAAAAGAATTATTGTTATATTTCATAAAAAACTACGAATGCTAGAAAACTTGAACTAAGACCGACAATACTATGTTAAAGAAGACATCCACGACTTCTCAATGGACACTTTTCATCTTGTGGAGCGATTGCGAAGAAAAATAAATATATATCGAATTTCTGTTACTTTGTATGTATCTTTTAACATTTACAATATCGATGTATTGTCTTTTTTTAATTACCAATTTTAAGCGCTCAGAGAACAGGTCCGGTGCATTTCTTCATGTACATAAAGTTGGAATTCAACAGTGCGTTCCTCTGCGGCACCATTTTTGTTTGACGTTAACCACAATGAAAGCGCATGTATTTTTCTTTTATTCACCCTCTAGTAACTCCATTGCATTTTCCATCTGTTCTTTCACATTCCATAATCCTAAGTTTTTAACTTCAGGTGAAAATTGCTGCTCATGAAAAATATAAAGTTGATCTAAAACCCGTTAATTTCATTCAAATTGACCTACTGGATCAACTGTAACATTTATTCTGACATTTTCTGAATCATGAAAAATGTCACCTCCTCGTTCGAACAAATATTGATATAGTGAAACAAGAATGGTCACTTCATTTGACTCATTCCTTCCAATGGATTTATCACCCACATAAAAAATTTCCATTGGCCTGTTACATGGATATGAACATTAAATGAGTGCATTAAAAGCTGACGTTTTAATAAACTTCATTAGTGGCAAAATTCACTCGGCCATTTTTCTTTCCCCTTTGCCCTCGATGTGCCTAGTTCATTTTCCTTCAAAACTTCAAAGCCTAATGTATCCTGTGATTTTCTCAGTTCTGGTCCTCTCAAATGCAATCCAAACGTTTATCATGAATCCAATGTTAGCAACTACTCCATTTCGGAAAAAAATGCTTGGGTAGAGCTTTTTATCCTTCATTATTAGATACGATATTCACAAGCTATATTATATTATCATTATCATTGAATTTCATTTTTAAATCAAATTAACTATAATTTGGAGTCTCTTTAGTGAAAGAACTGTGAACTCTACATCTATTGGAATACTACCTGAACCTTTTAACCATCAAAACATAATTTGAGTTTTTTGTGAAATCCTCAAATGAACATCAAAGTCAGATTTCAAATTATAAATTGATTTCTGGATAAGACTGAACTTATGACAGTGTAACAAATAGGAATTTATTGAAATACTCGTAATTATTATTAAGTGTGCTGATATTGTTACAACACTTAAAATGAATATATTGTAGTTCTTTGCCTTTGGCTTCACAACCGTGGAATAAATTCAGTTCCCTTGACCTTAGATTGGGCCCTAGTGGATGGTGATGATAATGAAGCTTATAGTTTCACTCTTCTTATTCCTCTCCTTTTACTTTATAACAAAGGCGGAGAATAGATCGCAAAACGATCGCAGCGCCTCTGCGGGTGTATCACGTTCTCAGTTGTATTTAATTAACGTAAAACCTAATGAAGTGATCACACTTTCTCTTCTGTACTATTAGTCTCTATTATTACTCATTATTAAATTCAACATCAAATTTAAATTGATTATTATAATCAACAAAGTACATTACGATTTACTTGTGCATTAATCGATTTCTATATTTTCAATATTAGTTTGAAGTTACGACATCAAGTTACCAACAAACACTTGCTCCCTTTTACTTGCAAAAGTTGTTGGAAGGGAGAAGAAGCTTCACACCGCCTCGTCCTTGCGTTGCCCTGCGCCTCCGCAGCAATCTCCTTGGCCCTTCGTCTCTGTCGCGAACGCCCCGCAGTGCCCTCCATTAATCACCTCGCCCGGGGGGAGGGGGGAGGGGGAGGCTCCCGGGGAAGGGCCACGGAGGCGAGCGGCATCGGGACACGAAGACGCCTCCCGATCGTGTGCATCCTCGCAGCGTAGAAGATTCTCA